AACAAATCATGCTGATGGGAGGCATGCCACAAAACCTGCAACTGACACGGTAAGGGCAGGTTTCTCTAGGGCGAGTAAAGAAGGATGTTGACGAGGGACAGACTCATCTTCCTCCACTTGGCGGGCCTGTCTTGGGCGGCATCAAAATGGAGTCCAACCCACCGAAGGTTGGTCAATTCATGCCGGCCTTCAGGATTCGCTAGCAGCCGCCCAAGGACTGAGTGCAATCGACGTGATGGAGGAGGACCAGTTTGCTCACAGGTGTTTCCTCCTGCCAGTGCATGCTGCTGTTGGCAGCCAGCAGCAGCAGAAGTCAGGTGGGGGAGGAGGCCTTCGCTAACTTTCGTTTTTGACAAATCAAAGTGCAATTATTTATTTTTGTAGTTTTTTTATTTGCTAAAGCGCAATTTCGAATGAATGAATGAATGTATGTCTATGTGTGTAGGAATGAAGAAATAAGGGAACGAACGAATGGATGAATGAATGGTTAAATGAACAAACAAAGAACGAACGAACAAATGAATAAATAAACAAACAGATTAATTAAATAAATAGATGTTTATCCATTAATAGATTAATTATTGTTAAGTTAAAACGATTGAATAAAATATTTACAACATGAATGGTTGCAATTTATACAAATGTTAATAAGTAATTATTATTAATAATAATGACAAAATTTTATATAAATAAACCTACGTAAGCATCAATTCTATCAGACAGATTGCTTAGTAATCTGTTAGCATGGCTGACAAACTCACTCTCCATTTGAAGAAATGGCAGTTGAGTGAGTTCTCTGATGGTGTGTTGAAGTTGTTCGTGTCTTTCTTCTGTCGATGTCGAATTCTCACTGCTCAAACACGGATTGTTTATGTAATGTTGCTGGTATTTTGTATGTTGCTGTTGTTGTTGTCGGATTGGTTGGGGTGCCGGTTCATCTCGCAATTCGTCTGGTTGTTCGTCTGCTTGGTGGCGAGGCCGTTGTAGTTTGTCTTGAAGTTCTTTTCCAAATGCTTTCGGTTCATCTTCATTCCATTTTTTACTGAATTCGTTGGCGAGTTGTTGTTGGAATGATAAGTGAGATGTGTGACGATGTTGTTGGTGTTGGTTGTTGTTGTTGTTGCTGTCATAAGTACCATCAAAGTCCACGTCATCGTTAAGTAAGTGCTTCATTGCTTTTGAATTTAGACGATGATGTTTTGAAGCATGTTGTAGTTGTTGTTGCTGATGTTGTTGTTGTTGTTGTTTTTGCTTGAGTTTCCGTTTTTGTTGC